AGTGTTGTTAGTGGTGTCCCCCAAGGTTCAGTGTTGTTAGTGGGGTCCGCCAAGGTTCAGTGTTGTTAGTGGTGTCCCCCAAGGTTCAGTGTTGTTAGTGTTGTCCCCCAAGGTTCAGTGTTGTTAGTTGTGTCCCCCAAGGCTCAGTGTTGTTAGTGGTGTCCCCCAAGGTTCAGTGTTATTAGTTGTGTCCCCCAAGGCTCAGTGTTATTAGTTGTGTCCCCCAAGGCTCAGTGTTGTTAGTTGTGTCCCCCAAGGCTCAGTGTTGTTAGTTGTGTCCCCCAAGGTTTAGTGTTGTTAGTGGTGTCCCCCAAGGTTTACCAGCCCATAGAAGCGATCTGGTAGCAGCTGAGCTGCCAGAATTACTTCTATTGTAAAGCCGACAGCCGTTTAGTCTGTTCAAAGGGCCGTGCTGCCACCGACCTACTACATACATACAAAGAACAAAAACAGAGAATTCCGTCCAGTGCATATAACAAAACAAATGACTTGATGCAATGTTCATATGTAAATGTTGTATTTGATTGTAAGCATTTTATTCTTAATAAGAAAGAAATGGTTGCACAAAGATGATAAAATGGAATATGTGAAAAAAAATCATCTATATTTGGAGTAGACAGTTATTTATGTCAGAGCTAAACATTTATTTATTTTTCATGTATCTTCCCTGATATATGTACTAATTGTTTCTGTGCCTACAGGAACGGAATTTGTACCAAATGCAGGAGCATAGGGAGCAAGCTGAGAAGTACGATGAACACATCAGAGAGCTTCAGAGTTTACTCACCTCTGCCAATACTGAGCAATTCAATGCTACCCCTATAGTAAGCCAGGTGCTGGATTTTTTAAAACCTGTGATGACCTCTGCTCTCCAACATCCACCAGTGTGTCCTCCCATGGGTCTTCCTTTGTGTCCTCCTGTGTGTCCTCCCATAGGTCTTCCTTTGTGTCCTCCTGTGCATCCTCCCATGGGTCTTCCTTTGTGTCCTCCTGTGTGTCCTCCCATAGGTCTTCCTTTGTGTCCTCCTGTGCATCCTCCCATGGGTCTTCCTTTGTGTCCTCCTGTGTGTCCTCCCGTGGGTCTTCCTTTGTGTCCTCCTGTGTGTCCTCCAGTGGCCTGTCCACCCTGGTGCCCCTGATGACCTCTGCACTCCTGTGTTCTCCAAAGACCCCTGTTCCTTTGTGTCCTCCAGTGACTCCTGTGATCCTCTACCTCCAGTGACCCCAGTGCTATAGTGCCTCCAGCAACCACAGTGTCTTTAGTAACTCCAGAGCATCCTGCATAACCCATAACACCAGAGAACTGTGTGACTTTCAGTGACCTCACACCCCTGTTACGTTTAGTCACTAATCACAGAGCACTTCTGTGATGCCGCCAGGTCCACCCAGCCTCAGGTATGCTCCTGTATCTCTTGGACCGTCTCCCTCCCTGTGGAAATGGAACTCTGTCCATCACAGTTTGCTCAAACCCTGAACCTGTCCAAAGTCCCAGCCACCTACTGATCCTAATGAGTTTCTCTCTCAAAGACTTGATGAACAGGAAGCTGATGAAGTCCAGGTGATTCAACATCTCCATACCCACTTGGATCAATTACAGGCCTCCCTCACTCTATTACTGAACCTTCGGCTCCTGTCAAAGGCCTCTTAAATGTGAAATGTTAAACACTTCATGCGCCGCTTCCTCCATGCGTCTCAGGGGATGCCAAGAGTTGCTGCTGGTTTGTAAACAAGTGTAATATTCACCTCAATCTACACCAACAAAACATGCCTACAGACCCTGATAAAGTGGCTTATGAAATTTGATATGTTTGTGGCCCTATGGGTCCTGCCTGGTAAGACAAAAGCCAAGTTTTGTCAAAGGATCCAGGTAGAAAAAAGTAATTGCAGCAAATAAGATGCATTTACTGTTCAGGTATTCAGCAACCATGGGTCCCACCGCCTTGTGAACACGATAGCAAGCAAGGGAGATTCCTCCATCCACTGTTTAGGGTGGATAGGGGAATCAATTGGTTTCTCTTGTTCAACAGAAATCTAGACATGTATGTATAGCTGAAGACAGACTGAGAACACAACTCTTGCCGTGTCTATCCCAATATTCATTTGAAAGAGAAACACACAGCCTCTAGAGGAAGAATCGACATATCTGTGAATGAAAATGCAATCCTGAACATATGGAAAAGCGACCATGAGAAAAATTTTGAAAGCCCCATAAAAATAACCCCAAATGAGTACCAGACAAAATAACACCATGGACATTAACATGGGGTTGACTCTATTAGATTGTAAGCTCTCCTGGGCAGCGCGCTCCTAATAATATTGTCATATTGAATTATATTGTAAAGTGCTACACAAACTGTTGGTGCCATATAAATCCTGAATAATAATAACAATAATATTTGTATCTGCAGTAGTTGACTTCACCCAAAATTGTTCTGTACTTGTTCCAGATTTGTAACAAAAAAAGCGTAGCAGCCAAAGAAAGCCATTTTCAGGAAAGGGTCAACAAAGGTGGCCGCCATGTTTCCCCAAAACGCGTGATCATTAATGATCCCTTGAAGCTTTGCTTCACTGTAGTTTGAGAAATAAGTTTTACGGAGAGGCAAAAATGGCAAAACATTCTGGCACTGCATGGGTTAATTTTGGTAGAAATACAAGAGAATATATCCAAAAATAATGTATACTGTGTGGTCTTCTATTGAATTTGTATACGTTTACCTCTCACTTTGTTATTCTCAAATCACAGCTTAATAAAATGTGTGATACAACAACATCACAATGTGTTCTGTTATCTTTAAGATGGAATATTTACATATAACTGTGTTCAGTGTGTTTTCAATGGAAATCTGTCTGTAAGCGGGTTTAGGGTGTGGCGGCTTCACAGAGGGAATCACACGGAATTGTCTTTTAAACAAGGTAACGTTTATTACCGGAGGGCCGGTAGTATGAAGAATATTTACAATAGTAAGGCAAGCGATTTCACTCCAGGCATGGAGACACAGGTACACAGTACAGTCCTTCAGATGTAAGCAGTCATTGTATTCATTTACACTCTCGGCACTTCCCACTGACTGGCACAGTCTAAACTCAAGCACACAATACGTATCTGTAAGGCTGATAACACTCTACCCAAAAGCAGCGGTATTTGTTCCGTACAGGGAGATAGGAGTCTGGCCCACTCTTCCCGCACTCACAGCGGGGACATCGGTTTGGCTCTAAGCAACTGGGAGTCTTTCATCCGACCAGAACTGCCGATGCAGGACTCCGTAGGAACCCTGAACTATCCCTCACAGGCCGGAACACTGTCCCTGAACTCTCCTAACTCTCCCTCACAAGCGGGGTACCTGTCCCTGTCTACTTTCACACGTGTTCTCCCAAAAAACGTGGTTGGGCTTCCTATATAAGATAACCACCCCAAAATGGCCGACCAAATCTCTCGAGAATTCCTGTCCTATCAGGACACCCGGCTTCTCCAAAATGGTGCTGGAGACAAAAATAGAGATTAAACAGTTGAACATATTAACACATAAACATATCAAAATCGCTGAAAGTAGTTATATACACTGGTTAACCCACTTTATCCTGCAGCCAGCTAGGCTGCCCTGTCACTGGCAACTGCCTACATGTCCATTACTGAATGGCGTTGGGTGGGGTTACCATCTCTGTCATTATTTTGTTGCTCTCTGTGTCTACACGCACAGAGCTGTCATGTCTCCCGGGAAAGTTGGAAGAAGCCCGATATGTCAGGGTTCTCACCCAATCTCCCAGCAGCTGAATGAAGTCTCCTGAGATCTCTGCATCCCTTGGAGACTTCTCTGCAGACCTCTCAATTACTCTGTCACTCTGAATTAGAGCCGTACTGTTACTTGTCTTATCCAACCTAACAAGTTTTAGGGCTTATTCACAGTATAATGTTGGCACTCATTCTGAATATAATGCCACGCTGTAAACCGGGACCTTTTGGCATTTGAAAATCACAGGGAGCCATCCTCAATACAAGAACAAACAGCTTCTGTAATAGCTGCTGGATGACAGTCCCCTATGGAAAATAGTGGTCAGCCGCTGAAAACTGATCCATTGAGAGGAGCAAAACAGAGTCGGAGGTGTCATAAACAATATGGGCAGCTTGTTCTTAATCTAAGGCAGACATAAGTGCCGGTGTATTATCCTGCTTCGATAAAGACCAAAGAGTACTGCCAAGTTCCAAGGTGTGGATTGGAGTCTTAAAGTAGCAATTACATACCAGAGAAGAGTCCTAGGAGACTCCATACTGGAGAACAGGGACCCAAACTGGTGCCTATGTAGAAGAGCCCAATATATGTAACATATAGAAATATGTCCTGGAACAGAAAGGGGAGTAACAGAGTGTCAAGTGGCAGCTAAAAATCATACAGGAATAAACAGTGCTAATAGTTTTAAGAAAAGGTAGCTTAGGGTCTTATTTGGATCACTTTGGAACTCCAGGCCACTTCAAGGCTTGCTCTGGCTTGGTAAAAAAAAAAATGGACTTTACCATCATGTATGATTTGATGTGCGGGGTCCCTTGTGCGTACCTGTACCTTTAAGGGAGGTTGGGCTTCCTCCTGACAAACCTGCACCCAATTTAATCTTTTGCCCCATGTGCTCCAAGATGGAGACTCTCATAGTTAGAGTTAGGACCGCACTATAAGAGGTGGCTTGGCGCGGCTGTGCGGCTTTCACATTTTCTGCAGAAGACGTGTATCCAAACCTCTGCTTTTAACCTTAGTGGTTAGACAAGTTTTTTTTGCATGCATGCTTGCTGGTGAGTGTGCCTGGAAACTTTTTTCTGTTATACACAAATTAGGACACTGAACCTCTGTCCTCTTAAGGACCCCTTTCAATATTAAATACAGGAAAGGAAAGAGGGCGGGACTGAATATAGGCCGGTCAGTCTAACATCGGTAGTTTGTAAACTGTTAGAAGGTATAATTAAAGGACTATTTGGAGTGGGGGTGTGGCTAGGGAGCGGATGTGAGTGGGCGTGCACACGTGGACCCTGGCGTGGTGTGTGAGCTGGTGCCCGGAATGTCCTCTGCTCTGATCCGGACTTGATGACCTTGCTGGCGAATAGCTCCCCCCTGCTACACATACCTGTGCTGTGGTCTGCTGTGCTTTGGTCTGCTGGAGGGGTGGATGTTGGCTGGTCCGTCTCTGATGCCGCTCTGAGTCGCGGTGAGTGAAGGGCTGGATGGTCGGCTGGGAAGGCAGAAGCAGCTGAGGTGCGTTTTTCTGTTGGCTCCCTCCGGTGGCTCTAAGTGGAAGTGCAGAAGGCTGGATGGTGGAGAAGGAATTGGAGGTTGGTGATTTGGCTCCCCCAAGTGGCAACTGAGGAATAGTGTGCCTGCTCAGTTCTCAAGGATGTGCTCTTAGCAGTTCAAGCCAGTAACACCACTCTGACAACCGTGGCGGAGCAAATACAAGCTACACGGATAGATATATCACTTCTCAGGCAAGATATGCAGAAGTTCAAAGAAAGGCTGATGGAGGCAGAAGACAGAATTAACAAACTGGAGGATGTGAATGCTTCTGTATGCGCCGATCTTAAAATGGCGTTGCAAAAAGTTACTATTAATTCTAGCAAGATCGAAGAATTGGAAAACAGAGCAAGGCGTAATAACATCAGAATGGTGGGAATGCCTGAACAGTCTGAGGGGTTAAATCCGGTGGCGAATATGGAAAATTGGATCCTAGAAACAATAGGGAAAGAATACTTATCTCCTATGTTTATGATCGAAAGTGCTTATAGAATTCCGGCACATACGAAGGTACATGGACATTTTCCAAGAACTATGTTGCTCAAAGTGACTAATTACAGAGATAAGGAGGCTATTCTCCGTAAAGTTCGTGAATTGGGAGCTATATCTGTGGCAGGTACTCGAGTGATGCTATTTTCAGACTTTTCACAGGAAGTTCAGAAAAAAAGAGCTCAATACCAGGAAGTGAAAAAACGAATGCGCCAAATGAACATACAGTATTCAATGCTATATCCTGCAAAAATGCGTATAACTACTCATGATAGGACTCATTTTTTTTAATCCCCCTTAGCAGTCTCTGCCTGGTTGGATAAATATTCAATGAGTGATACAAGAGGCTAGAAGCTGTAAGGTTTAATGTGGGGCATGAGGATGTAGTATATTTTGAGTATTAGACACACCACGCCGGTGATCTGGAATGTAAGATGAA